CAGACCGAGCAGAGCGCAGCTACAGCCGGGCGGCCTGGCCAAGCGGGCTCCAGTCTCTGTCAACAACAGCCACTGCTGGGACGTTTTACACTCTCCAAAAAATGAAGAGGTCTTTATTTTCCTTTCTCGGCTGAAGAAAAAGTAAATCAACCCACTTTTCGTGTGATCAGCTGAAAACTTTCCTCTCGTGATGCTATTTTAATCGACATTTGAACAAAGCAGAGCTTCTAAATTTGACTGATGATCAAAATTTAAACATTTTGTTTATGAGATCATCCAAATTAGATCCTTCAATGAAATACAGCACTTTAATTATATCTCGTGAACACAGGATTTCTTTTAAAACTGTGTAATCAATCATGGTTTTTGTAACAAGCACATAGATCATAGTTTATGTTGTTAGTGGAAGACACACTTTTAGGAATACATTAGATTATAATTTTGCACGATTTGAAAGAATTTGGATTTTTCTTGAACACCCGGGTAATAATCACATTTTTCTCTCGGAGTGTGTATGTGCCTCCACACATGTGGTCACCACTTATAGACAAAACAAGCTTATTGTAGATCCGATTTAGCGAGGCTCCGATGTGGCTGCCTTAAACTAAATTATCGCTGGAGATATTTTCCATAAAACAACTTATACTGTAGCTGCACCAGAGTCCCACCCACCCTCTCAACAGTGTCACTATCCTGTCCAGCTATTCTTTTTTATCCAGCGTCAAGAGGGAGAGCAGAAATAGCACCGCTTCCAACGATTACGCCAACTTGTGCATGTGATGAACTGCTTTTTGCCGTCCAAATTGCCTCTCTGTGGACAATGAGAATCTTGAGTTGGACCGGACAGACATTGTCCAAGGACTGTGTAAATGCACAAGGAAACATAATACTGCAGAAGCATCTAATGTGGTGAGAAAATGTGAACTGCAAGTTATATTATTTGTTTTTTTTTAGTTGGGAATAAAAGGCGCAGAAATGTTTTACAAGAATAATGCAGCAGAATGGAAAGTAAGGGGACGACAAATTTTGGTGTAATAAAAAAAATAAATAAATCAAAGGGCTGAAGCAAAACACAGAAGATATTATTAATGCTGAACTTTTCTAAGATGGTCACATGGACATTTCTGTCCATGCTGCTGATTATCCATGCTGCTGATCTCTTGCCTCTAAACTGCTGTATTCATACCCATCTCCTCACAACAGACTCATGTCCAGGCTGCTGCTTAATACACCGTATTATTTTATATTATTAGTGTTGAGCGTATATCCAAGATCCTTGTATACTGGATCTTTATATAATACACAGTATATCTTTGCTATTTTTGGGTGTAACTGGGTCTTTGATTACACAATTTTGTTCCACCTCATGTACCACATGTGATGCGAATGACAATGAAGAACCTTGAACCTTGATTTTTATTGCTTCTTTTCAAGGTTCAAGGTTCTTTATTGTCATTTGCATCACATGTGGTACATGAGATGGAACAAAATTGTGTACTCCAAGTCCCAGTTACACCCCAAAATAGTAAAGCTATATAGTATATAAAGAACCAGTATACAAGGATCGTAGATATATGCTAAACAATAATAATGTAAAATAATAAGTTATATTAAACAGCAGCCCAAACATGATCCTGTAGTGAGGAGATGGATATGAATACAGCAGTTTAGAGGCAAAAGATCAGCAGCATGGATAATCAGCAGCACAGATAAGTCACATATCACCAATTAAAGTGGCATTACAGTGATTTTTCTGGTTAGGGATTTATAAGTCTGACAGCTTCAGGGTATAAGTGCACGCACATATTTGAACTGAAACAAACTAGCGACAGATACATAAAGCTAACAGAGAAACTGTAAAGATAGTTTGGATTAATTTTTATCTATGATTCAACTCCAGATATATTTCATGCCAAACCCTCACAAATAGGAGGTTTACACATAGCTGCATGTGCACACACTTTTCTCACACGCAGAGGCTTCCCACGATTCCATCCACACCCATTTCCCACTCACTGGTTGACTTTCACTGCCTTCGTAATCACAGCTCATCACCACGTCTCTTCACCGAATCACGCAGTAAATCTAACGACTCGGGGCCTCACTTAGACAAACTCTAAAACCGCAACATACAGTAAGAGCACAAAGGCTATGCCAGGGTTGCTCAAGTCTTTTCAGAGCCATTTCAGGGTTGTAGAAAATTTCACAATCACAAATGCACCTCTAAAACAGCTTTGTGTGTACTCTGTGACTTGTTTGGCAAAGTTGTTGTAATAAATACACAAAAGTCCCATTGCTCATGTCTAACCTTTTAATTTACATCCTGCCCTGGAGAAGAATAGACTCCACGTGTGTTTCAAATATACTACAAATCTTTGGCTAAATTTGTAAAATTTACACAATCATCTTTTTCCTCTGAAGGATATCTGGCCCAAGAAAGAAACACACACAAACAGAGATTTATGAGCATTTCCCTTATGGGCAATTAAAAGATCTTTGGTCGGCCCGCTTCTCCAACAGGGGCAGTGTTTCTGGTCCCCTCTGTCTGGTTTTGTGTACACAGCTGGGAAATCCATTTTCATTTTCACCTTCCTCCTCCTATTTCTTCTTCTCTACCTTGCACCACTCCTCATCAGGGAATGTCCACGACAACTCCACAAAGAAACCTTATTTCATCTGCTCTGTCGCGATGTTGTACGATAGGGAGAGGAGGGGAAGGGGGGATATTTATTGCCAGATGTTTCAGAAGATCCATCAAGAGAAAAGCAGTTTAAAATTTTGGTTTTCCAAGAAAACTCAGTCCAAGACTTGAAAAATGATGGCGAACGAGAAGAATTTAAATAAAGGTGACGCCAGAGCTGGGGTTAAATTTGTGGAGATGAAAACAAGACAAAACAGCAGAAGAAAAGATTATTGTGTGTGAGAAGAAGAGTGCTTGTGGCTATTTTTACACAGACATGCTGCATACACATCTGTACTGAGGAAAGGGGGAATGCGGAAGAAAGGCTTGAAAGAGTTGAGCACAATTACAGGCTTCCAGTGCATGCCAGAGGGGTACAGGACAAACAGGGGGGTGGGAAGTGGGAGTTTGGAGTCAGTTTAAGGTGAGATAATAGATGATAACTGAGATACAGTATTTTCATCTTCTAATGCTCGATCCACTTCCAGCAGCTGGTCAACATTTCCCACCATACATGTCACAAAACACAGAATATAATCTGAAGTCATCCAAAGGGGTAAATTAAGAGGACTGTGGACTGACAGGAACATCAAAGCTTTTCAGGATGGTATCTTTCACGGGTAAGTTCTGTCGCCCCAACTTCTCAACTTCAGATCGCTTTTTAAAACTTTTTTTTTCTGCTATGTCTGAAAATATATCGAAGTCCAGACGAGAGGCAGAAATTCCATCCAAAACACTGAGCTAGCCCAGCAGGTGGTGATAACACTGATGTTAAGCACATGTTTAAATACAAAAGACATTACAGATTCTTCCCAAACAGTTGTTGCTCATTTTTTCTTTAATTTGATTCATATTTTTCCATTTATAACTATCCCTTTTAGCACACGATCAAAACAAGGTCGGGACAAATCTTTCCAAATGAAAACAACGTTTTTCTCATCAAAAACAGTTTGTTCCAGTTAAAAAAGTTTATATTGCACGAGTATTCATGTAAAAGTGGAGCTGGGCCTATTTACCAAAATGTACCAAAGAGTTAATCTGACAGATTGGTATTATTTTCAGATATTAAATTCACATTGACACAGAAACACTTTCCCGTACCACATTACAATAAGGCTCCCCTTATAGATAATTTATAGATGTGTTATTAATTCCTCTATGAACACTTTATAAATCATTAATAGTTGTTTATTATCCATTAACTAAGGGTGACAAAGAGACAAAACTGACTAGTTTCTTGCCAAATAGTGAGTCAAATCTGTTCACCTATTAATTTAATCTATAGAGTTATTATATTAAACATTTCAGACTAATTTACTACCTTGTAAGCACAATAAGCATTTGTAAACCTAATTTTTTAGGACATAAAATTAGTTGTAGATACTTAATGCACTGATAAAGTACAATATTATATGCTAAAGAAATAGGTTTACAAATGATTATTGTGCTTACAAGGTAGTAACAGTCTGAAATGTTTAATATAACAACTCTAGATTAAATATATAGGTGAACAGATTTGACTCACTGACAAGAAACTAGTCAATTTTGTCTCTCTGTTACCCTTAATTAATGCATAATAAGCAGTTATTAATGATTTATAAAGTGTTTATAGAGGAATTAATAATGTATCTATAAACTATTTATATAAGGGGAGCCTTATTGTAAAGTGGCACCCACTTTTCTGCCCTACAGTAGTGTTTAACTTAACTTTTTACTTGTTATTTACTATTACCAGTACTCAAGTTTAATGAGAACATTTTACTAACACAGTGTTGAAGAGCAACATAATCAAATAACAGAAACAGCACAGTTGGTCATGCAAGTTGTAAGTTTCCACGTTGCTTCATTCAGGCAACATATAGAAAGTAAAATCAAGTTAAAGTGCATCTTTATCATAATAAAATTATATTAAACTGTGCTTTTAACTGTGCTAAATACATTAATTACACTACCAGATTAAATCAGAAATAGAAAAGGGGATGTGAATCAGTTTGTAACATGTGTGATGGTTTTCTTTATTTTCTATTTAGAAAACTGCTTGGTAAATTACAAAAAGAACCACTTAGATTCTTCTCTTTCTTGAACTGAATAATAATGAGCCAAATATATTTGTAATGACATTTAAAAAAGGGTTTACAGCTGCGATAAAACATAAAAAATAACACGATTACATCAGCAGGGTTATTCTTATTTCTCAGGTTTTCCTACAGTCCAAAGCAGGAAGTACTGCAGCTCAGTGGGGCCTCTGGTTTATTTATACTAACGGACTCATAGAGATACATGAAACAGTCTAAACACTAGACTGAGGATGAGCTCTCACCTCTCTCGCATTGTGGTCCAGTGAAACCGTAGACGCATGCACATCTGTTGGGCCCGATGCAGCGCCCGTCGTTCTGGCAGCCATTTTCACACACAGCTGGCAGAGACATGGAGTAAAGAGGAGTTACTGGACTGCTTCACTTCAGTTGTTCTCCATCTCACTGTCGCAGTGTTAGAACAAGCTTAAAATCACATTCTAAGTTGTGTAACAAATGTCTTCCTAGTAATAAACCAATAACTTTTTTTATCTTCTGGCCAAAGTATTTAGGAGCATATATTATGTCATAGCAGGCAAAAAAAAAGAAAAGAAAAATGTAACGCTTGATCATTTTGACAAAGGAATATAATTTAACACCTTTTACGTGTGAGTGACAACAGTGTGGAGACTTGTAGGAGCAGATTCTTTAAATAGAAATTAAGAGAGAGAGGGCCATGTTTTGTTTAAAGCATAGAGATCCTTAATGTCTGAGGTTCACACATTGTGCTGTCTTTCATGTCAAAAACAAAGGACATTTGCTGAAACTTAGACTGGAAGTAGTGGCACGACTCCATGTTCAGATTTAGTCCAAACTGGGTCATTCAGCTTTACTGCTACTTTCCCCAAAGCTGTGCAGTAAAAAATTATTCTGATGCAAAAGCGTTACTCAAAGTGATCGTTAACAAGCATTAGTCCACCATCAGAGTGAGCCACTGCTCGTCTGCATTTTACTGAAGTCTAGAGACAGACAAGATGATTTATCTCTGGGGTTTAATAGGAACAGAATAGTTTTAATGTTCTTGTTTCAAAGTAAACATTTAAATAAATGAAAAGAAAGCATTGCAAAATAATAAACATATCTTATCTGTGAAACATGAAAGGGGAGTTTTATGATTTGTGGCCGTTTTGCTGAATCTGGGCCCAAGTGAGTAAAAAAATTAATTAATAAATAAATAAAGCTGCGAGCGATCTCATTATGAAAGAAAAATGTTCCAACATTTGTCTGACAAATGACACACAAGAAAAAAAAAACTGGTTAGTCCTAAAATGTAATTTGAATCTTTTTGTGTAGCGCTATAGGATGTTTCTCAGACGTGTCAGACATTGTGTTGTGTAATGCACAATCCTTGCACACATTTGTATTTATGAGTGCACACTGCAGCCGGCTGTACTCACGTTGTCCACAGTGACTGCCTGTGTATCCCTTTGAACAGGCGCAGGTGTCCTCCTGGCAGCTGCCGCCATTCATACACCTGATGTTACACGACTGAACTGTGATAAACAATCAAATAAAATCTGGTTAAAAGAAAAAATGAGTTGGAGTAAATCTAATTCACATTTTATTCAGTGTTTATTTTGACAAATAATATCCAAAAGCCCTCTAGTTAAAAAATGAAGCCAAACACACATTTTGAGTAGGTTACTTTATATTTATTCAAAGTTCAAGGTTCTTTATTGTCATTTGCATCACATGTGGTACATGAGGTGGAATGAAATGGTGTACTCAAGGTCCCAGTTGCACACAAAAACAGCAATAATATAAAGTATATTAAAAAAAGAATGAGTAAACAAGGATCGAAGATATACGCTAAACAATTATAATATAATATAATAAGGTGAATTAAACAGCAGCCTGAACATTTATGCTACATTCTGATCCCTAAGGAATTTTATGAAAACTGAATAAAACTTGGAGAAAAACAAAAATAAATATAAAAACAAAGGAGCTAACAGAATGGCAAATTTTAAACTTAATAATTCACAAAGATAAAAGCTTGAAATAAGAATGTCTGGTGAGAAGATCAAGGCCTGACAGACATTTAAAAAGACATGAGGGTCAATCTGATGAGCTAAAAATGTAGGAGCAGCTTTTATTGCACATTTGTTGGAGGGTATCAGAAGATACGTGGTACATGGATGTATCAGAAGATACATGGTACATGGATGTATCAGAAGATACGTGGTACATGGATGTATCAGA